AGTTGATAACCATTATTACTTGTATAATCCTAGCATTTCTTGTATAGTTTTTATATTATAGTTGATCACTCACTTTTGGAGAAAACTGAATTGGCCTATCGTTTCTCTTTGGATATAATATTGTTTTTTAATTACCGGGAATATTTTCTTCGATTGTGACAACTGATTTTCCTCAAGTGTTTTTATAAGTTTTGTCCGTAGATGCTGAAAATATTTAGTTTATTTCATACCTATATTTTTCCTAATAGTTTCTCTTCAGCACCCCTATGTACGTTTGTCAAAATTATTATGAGATAATTATTGGACATTATTGTCATTGCGGTTTGTTTGAACTGGGAAGGAAATGACTATACAAAACCAACGCCACAGTTATACTGGCATTCTCCGAATTCTAAATTTCACACTTATAACGACCTTCGACTTTATAAAGGTACCAGAGTACCCCCCTAAACCAATTGCTCAAGTTTACTCCCAAAAGAAACCTTAAAGAGAATACTACAGTTTAGTAGTACAACGAAACTCCTTAAAAAAGCCTTTGTACATTGGGGGTAATGAAGCCTTAAATTTAAGTTCTATATGGATTAGTCTAACTTAATTCTGACGAGTTGCTTAGGAGTAAACTTGCTATTTTGTAATTAATGAACACTATCTCATGCTATTTTACAAACGCTCCTTTTACGTTTGCTAATTTTGCTATAGCTGAGCCCTTAAACAAATCACTAGGAAGCTTGTTGAGAGAAATGTTTATGTTTTTCCATGCAACTGTTGAACATCTCGGTGATTGAACTTTTCGCAGGTTAATTTGAAGAATATTCAACCCCACTTTATACTCACTGGTACAGAGTGAGATAAGTGTATGTGTTTTTGTATTCTTGAGAAGTTAAAAAACGACCTTAGCCTTCTATATTTAAAAAGCTTTCTTCCATAAGTCAAACACCTATCATGAATAAAATTGTGTGGTAGTTATAGTCTTCAGTAATAAATACTGTAGGTCATTGTATCTGCATCAGTCATTGAGTTATTTTTTCGGTAAGAGACCCAGTTTTTCCGAATAAGCATTCATTCATGGGTTTGATACTAGTTATTCGGTTATATCGTTGAGGAAATTGACTAGTTGATGAGAAGAAAGATGGATTCTACACCGTATTTATTAGATTTTGACCCTCGAAAATTTCCTGATGGCCTCAGTGATTATTGATCGTATGCAGGGCAAAAAGCAAGTTATGTAAATTTCTAAGTCATTTTGCAAGGTCACTAGTGATAGTATAGGATCACCTCGTGTCCTTCGAAGAGGTAACTGTAAAAGATCCAAATATTTAACTTCTTCATTGAAGGAGTTATCGTATAGACCTGTCATTGACTAAGTATCTGCGCGTTGAACAAGCCCAAATGAACCAGAATTTCTAACAAGATATAAACAAGCCACTGATTTTCAGTATTCCTAATGAGGTTTCACATAAGCAAGGAACAAAAATCAAAGCATTTCTTATTAAAAGTATCCGAAGGTGTAACAGCTTCTACCACACACATGATTTATCCTAAACTTTGGACATTCCGATTATTTTGATTTCCTATTTGTTCTGTCATCTACACATGTGATCTTTAGGAGTGTGTATGATAAATGTAGCAGTTGTCTAATCGTGATCGTTGATTGCGTAAAATTTTCGACACCTACTCCCAGGTATAAAGTGATAAAAAGAAGGTGCTTTGTGTAAGCCATAATCTTTATCAATAAGCACGTTAGATTTGTAACCCAAATACGAAAGAAGCTCTAGGGCTGCAAACTGCAAACATGCGGGTAAAGAAGAGAAAAAAGAGCAACGTAGCATCTGAATAAAAACCCTCACTAATGCTTAACTGTTTCCAGTGGAACAGACAAAGTCATGATATATCAGCACATTAAACTCACGACACCAGCTACTAATATCGTGACTTGTAGATAAAATATCATTGGATGAAGTTATACAGCAGTAAAGAACAACGAATTGTGACGTGTAGTAAGGCAGAAAAGGTCGGGATAAAAGAAGGAAAGTTGAAGTTAGAAGCAGGAGGGATTTCAATCGAAAATGTGTTGAAAGAGAATACTGTGTTTAGAAACTAACAAATTCATCGTTATTATCCTTGATCATTCCTTTTTTCATCACATCCCAATCCTCCATCCATAGTGTACAAGGTTTAGTTAGCATTAATATTATTATTATCTCAGCGGAGTTGCGAAGCCAGCATAAGGTTGAGAATATGAATCTAATTAGTAGCCAGCATAGGAGAACAGCCTCAATATCACGAAATATTTGACTGAATAATAAAGAATCTGGAGCGAATGAAATCTGCTCCATATGCACGTCTGGATTGAAACCATCGCCCTTATTATCAGCCCTCACTAGTCAGTATTTCTATCCCCTCCTTTTGTGATGTTAGGCTTTTCTAAGGTGATTGTTAAATTAAATATTATGTCCTGTTTGAAGCTCCATATTTCTTACCCTGTTGAAAAACACTATTTCCAAAAGTACTGTGTCACAAGCTCGTCGAAAGATTACAACTCATGGATTATGGTTTGGTCATTGACGCAATACTGTTCATTACTATAGTAAGAACTGTGAGTTTCCTAAAAAATTATAAGTATTCATAAAAAGGTGTAACGACACATAAATTTTTATCAAAATAAACGAAATGTGTGGGAATATAACATTTATGCGCAACGAGATGAAGTCCAAGGTACGTGAATAAAATATACGAGGAGACAGTAAACTGATGAGAAACAGACAGAGAAGAAATGACATCAACTTGTTGGTGGTGGTGTATTGTGATGGTTGATTATACAATGTTTTCCAGGTCCAAGAAAAACAAGATCGCAGACCACTGCATCTAAGTGTAGTGTCATGGTATTAGTATGTCCCGCCCCGTCATTATGTACAAAACTGAAGGGATGTAATTTGCAGCGGAATTTGTCTCAGATTTAAGGGTTTTAATGGCATGGAGAACATAAGCGCCATAAAAATTAATGCTATTGAGGTTATTCTTATTTATTCAATTAATATCTGGGGTATGAGGTGTATCCGCATTGCCATTCACTAATTCACAAATGACAGTTTGGTAACCATATATTATTCTTTTGTGGAATATGTAGTGAATATTGTAGTATGCACTCTTCTTTATCGGTTCTTTAGGCAATGAACATAAGTTTAGTGACTGAATTCGGCAACAAGCGCTGTACGTCCCGTTACTTGTTTATATCTTTCAGGCTTACTTATCACACACTCATGCAAATAGTGTATTTGGTGAGGAGAGCCGACCTCTTCTAATAATACAGCCACTTTGGTTTCTCTAGCTTAGTCCCGGTTTCTTTTATTCATGTAAGGAGTTATTTTTTCAAAGCTCTTCTAATGTAGACGGAAATAAATGTGGTTCTGTAAATTAAAAGCTCGTAAAAATCATATCCGTTAGAGTGCCTAAATGGGACTCGAAAGTTTGTTCACTTGATGTGTGACTAACCCCTCTGTTGAAAACACGTCGTTATAATTTCGGATTTACCGCATTTTGCAAGAAAAGATAAACTTAAGGGCGATATTTTATGGCTGTTCACTGATCACTATGAATGTCGGTGTAGCATTATGACGAAATATCACAAAATGAATATAGTGTTTTCGCAAATACACGTGTACTTGTCGTTGTTAGTCATGTATGTCTGCGGATTTAAGTTTTTTTTAATCATAATGTTTGCACCAGACGAACATCCTAGTAGTTGTGATTTCTTTTTCGTGGACATCTGAGACTTCGTGCAAGTAGATTCAACTATGGTCTGGATTACAGTTTTTATTCCCCAAACTTGTCAATAACAATAAATGCAGCCTTTCTATCATGGGTAGATGGTATAATGACAACTACAGTTATCTGAAAAAAGCGGGCCATTGTTTGGGAAGTTCTCCATCAGATCGAGAGTCATCTGGACTTTATATGGGAGAAAAGACTTTGTAATGAGTTACTATCCACATAACTGTCAGTGACTATTTCGACAGGTTTATTGGCAATAACAGTATCGAAAACGCCCATAAATTTTAGCACGAAAATGGAAAACATTCACAGTTAATCCAGATTAAGCATAAATGGCAGAGATGTGGCAACAAGATAGTCTAATAGTGATGACAAAGTGGAGAGAACGTGACGAAGGGTTTATGAACTCAACCGGTCAAGATATAGAAAATTGACATATGGAAAAACACGTTTGTGTACCAGAAACTAAAGCTCCAACTAGTCAAAATGGACGTACACAAAGAGTTTTGTATAACTGATTATCTCTTCAAGTGTTAAGTACGTGCTCGGATCTAATTTTCTATTATGATAAAACCCTGTAACGTCGAGCCTTTGATAGATTCACGTCTATCTCGAAGGTATTTAGTAAGCCAAAGGAGTATATAGAATTAAATGTGAGGGAATCCAAAGGAGAAAAGAACAAATCAGCGGACTATTCAGTAAGCGCATGAGATGCACTCACACTTATTAAAGAAAGCAATTAACAGCAGTTAAAATCAACAAAAGAGTGGGATTAAGGCTACGTGATAGTGAAAAATTGAATTTTCTGGTGTGAATATGCCACAAATCTTGAGCCGTTCATGTGTAACCAGAAGGTACTTTGTGTATTCGGGGTATGTACAGAAGCGTGGGTGGGAAAAGAAGAAAACAAAAGAAAAGCAGAGTCAACGATCCAGTAACGCAAAACATGGATTTACATTCATAAAGGAAAGCATCAAGCAGCAATAACACAAACTGCAGAACAAGAAAATCATGGAACTGAAACTAGAAGCAGGTAGTTTATCCTGTAACAGCTCCTATTTTCAAATTAAGCGCTGTAGTGTACTTCTCTTTGAGACTTTCGAAGTTTGAAGATTCCCATTCTCTATCGTAAAGATTACTCAGCATAATTCATAGGTAAGCTTTCAATTAGGCCTGACGATATTCAAGGTTAAAATAATAGCGGCCATCTCCTTTCTGTCGCTACGTTAATGGGCCGTTCGCGTAGCAGATCACTGTCTAGTGGTCACAAGTCGAAACCTAGACGGTACAGAAGCCGTTCGCGTGATAGAATCAAAGAGCGCGACAGGTATCGTGACAAAGAACGCGATAGGATACGCATAAGAGGGAACGAAAGGTCGTATCGAGACCGTCATCGTCATGACAGAAGACGGAGGTAAACCGACGGTATACTTTCTTCAGTACTGTTTCAGAAAAAGAAGCTCAACAGTGTCAAGCTACGATAGTGAAGCAGAGAGGCGAAATCGAAAATCAAAAATGAAGGAAATAGATAGAAAAATAGAAGAGGCTCGAAGGAAAGAAGAAGCTGAAAAACGTGCTCTGGAGCAACGAGAAAAGTAACTGTTTTGTTCTAAAACTTACGCTGTATTGGATCCACAAGGTCTCAGCGCTTCGTATGTAAGCCTTGCCACTCAAGGCTTTTGTTAGCTTTAACCACACTTATAAAAATATGCTTTAGGCGTCCTAACCACTGTATGGTTAACAAATTAGACCAAATGCTTGATTTTAGTACTTTGAAAATTCTAGTGCTTTATGCTCTGTTTTATTGTGTAAACTTATAAGTTTCTGCAAAACGCCAGAATATCTATTCATTTATTTCGGTCTGCACTATCTTTCTATTTCACCATCATAGTAATAGAATAAGTTATGATGACGAAAAACAACTAGATAAAATGGGGTGCCATACTTCAAAATTTATAAGCAATAAATGGGACCAGCGAATAAAAATAATATAGGATTGTAACAAACTTGAATCACTTGGAAATATTAAAAGTGAAATTGTTGTTCATCTCTATGAAGCGAGTAGGTATAGGCAATATATCTTAACTATGTTGATTGATGAACGTTCGTGGCGTTACCAATCGAGTTTCTGTTTTTACTTAGTAATCCATATAGTTTCATGTTTATTTAATAGTTCCTTTATGTATAATCAATAATTTGAAGGGATGATTGAGTGCTGTTGACTTGGATGTGTCCTGTACATTCACATATCGTATTTCATGATTATAAGGTGATAGCGGTGTGTTGTGCAGTGTACTCGCTTAAGCTATGACTTGACTAGATTCAACTAAGTACCATGCCTTGGCATTGAGGTTTCTCCAGATATCAAGCCTGTTAAGACTTAAGGTGGGCAGAGTCAACCCACTCAACTACCTCATTTTCTATGATCAGACTATGCATTAAAGTAAATTAGTTTCAAAGCAAAATTTCAAATGTCAATAGTTGGGTGTACCACAAAGATTCATGGAACATCACTAAAACATTCATAAGATTTCATTTTGTCTACGTCATCCCCAAGCAAATAAGTTTTCCTCAACTGTCCTCTACACATTGTACGGAAAAACTAGTCTCTTGTAAAGACTGTCAGGTTGCAATCGTCATCAAATTAAGTGAGAGAAGCTTTTGCTTTTAACCAGGTGCCATATTTCTGGAAGAATCTAACATCCTTTGTCTCTGGGTAAAACTTATGTGTGTGAAAAAAATCAGCAGAGATTGAGAGAGTAAAAATAAGACTCAGTTCGCTACGTGAGTTCGTTGAATATCTAGAGATATGTGCTTTCTGTTCAGCGACGTCAAAAAAGATTGAGTAGATTAGCTACATTCAAATTCAAACCTTTAAAGATTCTTCTTAGGATTAGTGTTGAGACTAGGTTTCAAAAACCAGTGATGGCTTCCGATACTATTTGTCAGGATAATATGGTCTTCCAGTTCCTAGTATTCTAGAGGAAAACAACCAAATTTTACCATATGTCGCCGATAAATTTTCTCTTGAATGCACCTCAAAGCATTGGTCTTGTAAAATGCTATTTCGTATAAGGCGGTTTTAAACTGATTGAAATTTTTATCAAGAATTGAGACGCGCCACGTACGCTAGATTAGCCTATGTTTCATTCATGTCACGGTATTAGATGTGAGGTTGTATGTAACCGAAGCGCAAATCTCCCTCCAACGGCGCTAGAAAAGCATAGTCTTTCGAACTGTGTATGTTGCTGACATTCTGTTTTAAATTGATCATCTTGAACTTTACAGAGTTATGTGTCAGTCTCTTACCGTCTGACCAATTATGAAGTCCAGTTAAATCCTTCAGAGATAGCTTATTGTCATGCTTTCGAATTGCTCACAGTAATTCCGCATCATTAGTAATCATAATCTTACTGACACCAGGCTTTCTAGTCAGTCAAGAAAATTTGTTAGTAAATGATAACAATGAAATAGATTAAATAACCAATCATATATGTATATAAATATTACCGTTAAACTTGGTGAGGATATAATTGGAAACAATGTTGTTTGTATATTCTAATTCACATAATCGGTTTTTTTAATATTTCTACTGAAGTTGAAGACACAACACCAGTCTGTGAACTCATTCACCGTTTTGAGTTGTGTATGGATTCACGCTGTACTGTCCGTTATTATGGTACTCATTTACCAAGTCCATGCCTGTGTAGTTGGCTTCATACTATTGTCTCTTTATGATTGATCGATTGACATATTTAAGCCACATTTAGTGTGCGCACTAGTATTGCAACTGCCCTGTCACAACTGAAGTAAGCTTACCGGGGCTCGAGCCTTTGACTTTGAAATTATTTTCACCATAAAAGTCAGCAATCAAGTATCCTGGATGATAGATGAAATTTTATTTGTTTAAGACGGATTCGTTCATTTGTTTATTAGTCTACACTTGATTCACTCTCCAGACCCAAACATTTTTAGTGATTTATAAGATCTACACAGTTTCTTTTCCTGCACAGTTTCAGAGTGGAGAAACTTGACTATATATTCATGTTTTTTGGTTCCACGTTTTAGTACTTGTCTGTCAGTCTATGAAAATGTTGTATACATTTTACAGCAATAGACCATTTTGATATTTATTATTTTTTAACAAAACATGATTATAATATCCTCCATAATTCAGAGAACGACGGTTGCAGGAGGAACGTGAACGGGAGGCGGAAGCAGCCAGGCAGTTAGAAGCTCGTGTTACAGAGGCTTTCGAAGCTGCTTTAGTAGATAGGGCTGAAGACCTCCAGGCTGAATTGGAAAGAAGATATCAAGCGGAAATTGACCGGAGAGTTAAGAATAAACTAGATGAGATCGAACGTGAATACCAAAGCAAGCTGGAAGAGCAGAGACGTATGGAGGTAACCTTGTAAACATTTTGGAGCTAGTTGATGACTTGTTCAGTACTTACGATGCAAAGTCGTTACGTTCAGTTATTGTTTGTTGTTTATGTGTCGCTCAGCATTTTAATTGTTTTATTTGATATAGATTAGCTCGATTGTTTAAAATTTAAACATGGAGATTTTTCTGTTGTCGTTAATATGTAGACAATTTATGTAGATAATGGTAATCTAGGTTTGGAAAGACTTGAGTTATTTCTCGTCCGACATTATTCTGTGTTAGAGAGTCAACGTAAGCACTAAAAGTATTCTCTAAAGGATAAGAATCCACAGGGTCGCAGGGCCTTATAAATTTACTTGTATTTCAATTACATGTCATCTTTATTACACGAACATATTTCCATCTGCCACTTTTTCGTTTACTGGATCTTCACTTGGCGTTGGCTTTTGGCTTTTTTATTGACCGTAATTTATTCGCAACAACTAAGCTATATTTAGTATTATTAGAGTAATTAAATATATACCTGCACACCCTACTCTCTGTTTAGTTATCAGTTAGATATCTCACATTGTGACGTAAAGTGGTAGTAACTTATTGAACGCTTTAAGTACGTTTTGAGAATATGCCTTACAACTTTCGATATTTGCAAAATATTTATAATAGTCAACTCATTATCTTGCAGGATTTCGTTTATTTTATTGTGAATCAGATTTCCTAGTAGGAAATGAGAGTATTGCTTATGAGAGTATACTTATGATTTAGTTGAATTACCACCTGGTATATTTACCCTAGCTTCTACTAGATCACAATTATTGGGACAATTAGCCCTCAGTCGTATGATGTACCTTCGCATATCGTTTAAACTTATATAAAGTGTGACAATATCTGTTGAGACTGGGTTATAACACAAGATTTCATAATATTTAATGTATTATGCTCGAACTTACTGTTCGTGGTTCTTAATTATTCCGGATTTTGAACAAGCTCATAATTTGATTTAAGCTGTTTGCTATAGAAGTATAGATTTTCCTAGAAAATCCCAATTGTTTTATATCGATCGGATGTTAATATTATGGTTTCACATTTATGCTACATGTATGTAAGATATTTTGTTCACCTTTTTATATGTGAAACTGTTTTTAACGTTTCGCCTTATTCCAGGAGGAGGAAAAACGTAAACAAGCAGAATTGGACAAAATACTTGAAGAGAATAATCGCAAACTCATGGAAGCTAGGCGTAGAGAGGTTTGTTTTCTCATCAATCTTTTGTTTCATGCTGAAATAACTCACTTGATCTTAGGATGCATAGTGGGTACGTCTTATCACGACGTAACACAGAAATCATAAGTTACATAAGGCGTAGAGTGAAGTGACATTTTCATTTAAAAAATAAATTTAACGTGCGAAAATATTTCGAGTATAAGTTTATATGCGTGATCAAACCATATTTGTTTTAAATCAAGGAAATTTATTTACCCAAATACCACCAATCAGTGTAGGTATGTTTAAAATATTTGTATTACCATGGTAAATGTTAGTTGGGAAACCTAATCTTCGGTAGTTAGTTCAGGGAAATCTCGTTGAACTAATCTCTGATCAATATCAACGTTTAACGGAATCCGGGATGTGAGCCTTACGGCTTCATAAAGTTAAGTTCCTCCTGGTAATCATTAACTTGAAAGTATACAGAAATGACTTCGTAGGACTCAAAATGGGTCGCGAAAATGTGACTTTCTTAGTTGTATTTCAATAAGCTGACAGACTAAAAGGAAAAAATGCTGTATACAGAGTTTTGTATACATTCAAAAACCTAATTCCTTAACGTTTATGTGTATCATTCTTCTACGCTTGTATCTATGGTAATTTATCTGCTATAGATCCTTTCTGTATTAGTAAAACCTTTAGTTAAGGTTTAGGTATCAGTACCAAGGTTGGGCTTCATAGTTTCAAATAAATTGAGCATTGTGCAGAGTTAATGATAAATACATTTTTTGTTACATCCCAGTAAGTAGAAAAAATTTTAAGGTAGTAAAAGCTTACTTGCGTGGGTAAAACTTCATAAATAAATACGGTGAATAGTAGTTTTCCAGAGAAGACTGTTAAATGTATTACATATGAACCACTACCCGGTTATCCTTTATCTTATGATGAAGAATATATGTATCCAACTATTATATATTGCTGCATCTTTGATAACTGCATAGGGTTTCATATCGTTGAAAATCGAACGAACTGAGTCGTTATAAGTTTCGGTTAAAGTTGATTTCAATTACTGTATTTTAGTTTTCTGTCACATTTAACAGATCTATGCACTAAAATGAAACGGATGTATTTTAGGACCTTATGTAACGTTTCCATTGATTGTTGTCTTCTTTCATGCTATTGTCCAATGCGACGCTTCTCTTGCTGCTCATATTACGTTAACTTGAGATTTTATAAATATGTAATAGTATCCCACTTTAATTGTTTACAGCTGTGAACAGTCTCAAAATTCTTCGGGACAATGAAAAAGTACTTGAATTCCTCCTCCATAAATTAGTCGAACTTTGAGATTTGCACTATGGTTCTTTTTCATTAAAAATCAATCAAGAGGCCAATTTTTAATTTCATTGGAGTACTTTCGGAAGACATAATTGTTGAAAATGAAGGGGTGTAGTCGTATAAAAGAGAAAGGACTGCCGTCTTTGCTACATTTCTTAGATTAGTTCATGTCAATCTCGATTCAGGATTACACAAAATCAAACATAAGGGGTTTAAGCAGTTAACGTAGACAAATAATAACTTTTTCTCGGTTATTTTCATTGTACTTTTGATATTCTGTGATTTAACCATATCAATCATCTTTTTATTTTATGGAATAAGCTTAATATTTGTTTTCTCTGGTCTTGGGTTATGGCGTATTGATTTCATCTTGCATATTCCTGTCTAGTAGACCCCAAATGCCCTGGTACGGTCGAGAGTGGGGATAGTCGGCTCCCCCTCTCGAAATGCTCTCACATGGCTACGTGTATACAGCCACTGCCAAAGAAGTCCTACTCATTGCCTTCTCGTGGCGAAGGTGTTGTTTACGGAATTGAGAGGACGAAAAGCGAATGTTCGGTGCTTTAACCGGGTTGGTGGATATGGAGGATCCACCTAGGGGAGTTGGAAAACCCTGATTCTAAACCAATGGTGTACATGGGCTCCATGGGACTGCATCTCCTGACGTTGCTCTGCTACCTTGTGGATTAGACTTGTAGGTCGAAGGCTCGGGGTGTGGCCCGCTAAGACAACTACCTGCTTCGGTCTGGGCACCTGGGCTGTATCCCAGCCCTCACACAAATCAAATTATTTGTGTGATGTATACATATTTGGTGCCTCCTTGTACCAACGTTTATTTGTTTAAACAATAAAACTAATAGCAAACTCAACTCGTCGTTTCCCATCAAACTGTTTTCTTAGAGTTGTCTTTTCGAGAATTCAATGTAGAAAAGTGATAGTATTTTCTCCTGAAGTTTCCTCTGGCTAAAACCATACATATGAACGTATCAATGTATAAGTAAGATTTTTGTTTCGGATTATAATCCATATTTTTTGTAGTTTGTGTAACGGAATTGCACTCTTAAGAACTATTTCGTATCAATGTAACTCAGATTTCATTATCTTTCATCATCAACTTTGTATGTTCATTGAAATAAAATAGCGTTGACTTTTTGTAACTTTTCTATTTATTTTAGGACTATTACCTACAGCCGATTAACGGATCTGCATTATAAGGTTCTGTATATATAATTTTTCTTGATAAAACTTATTCTTCTGTACCTTCATTTTCATTTACCAAATAAAATAGTTTATCAAAATCATCAATGTTTTCAAATTTCATTCGTTTTTCGAGATCGGGATAGATATTTCCTGGAAATTTCTTCTTCCCATATTTTTTTCTTACTGACTGAAATAAAAAAGTACTTTCAAGGTTAAGAGTTATCGAAATTCTTGTAATTTTTTTTCGAAATTGTTATCTATGAGTTCTACACTACGTTTTATGCTAATATTCAAAGCAAGTCACGAGTTAAGCCGTGTTAAGATTGACCTTATTGGTATTTTCGGGGTGTGTTTAATCAATAAGAACCGTTTAATTAAACCTGAAACACTTGATGAAAAATGTTGGGCTTTAGAATTTCGAGTTAGTTATAGGTTAAGTGGAATAATCAAGCGATTAATCCGTAATTTAAATGGTATCAAAACAATATGGGATATGCTCCGCGCACGATCGTCAGATGAGATGAGATGATATAAACAATGTTACAACATATATGAGTGAGTTAATACTTGACTTGTCACATCCATGTTATCCAGCTTTGTAAATTAATGGTGGTTGGTACGGCCATAGGCCTTGCTTCTTCTGCTACAACCATGTTTTAATCTCCGTTTCAATTTATTTTTACATCGTTAGTTTTTTCACCATACGCAAGTTACTGATGCGAAATTGTGATTTGTAAAGCATTAGAGGACTTTGGGAGATGTATGGTTCTTAGATCATTTTCAGTGGCTCAACAGTTGTTACTCACTTAACTACCGAGGGATTATAGTCAGTTGTTCTCAGGGTTTGAGCTGTACGGAAGTCTGGAAAGAAACATACCTAGATGAGGAGCAATTCTGTCATGCTAATTATCTATGTACTTATCGCTAGATGTTAGGATCGTGTTATGCTCTGCAAACATCTTATTCATTGTGAAGTGTGTTGTAACTACAGACTAGAGTGGATGCTGATCTGTCCATCTATAATGAAGCCAGGCGCACTTTAGAACTTTGGCATTTTCCATCGTATTATGATCACTTTAACATAAACCCTGTAAATTCCCTCCGTGCATAACAGGTTTCCTTTAACTAACAGATGTTCAGGTTAACAAAGACATCAGTATCCCTACTACATTATATACTTACTTCATTTGACCAAATGGAGCTTAACTTTCTTTCCACCCACATCTCAAGATCCTTAGAATTGTAGTTCTGTAAATAAGCGATAAATTTGGGAATGTAGCATTTTACATTTAATATAGATATAGCCTGCTCATACATCTTTAAGTCCGTCGAGTATTTGTAAATTTCGGAAATCGAGGTGGCTGCAATGTTTGCTATCTATCAATAAGAATAAGCGTTCCATGTCAACGATTATTCTTACTCTTAATTGGTTGCTATCCATACCAGTACTCATAAACCCGGGAACTAGTTACGTAAGTCGAAAACGTATGAGTATGCAGTACCGTGTGTATTAACGTGTATAAACAAAGTTCTTTCCTACTCAATCCATATTGAGATCTGAGTCTCAGTGTGCTAGATTAAAATGTGATGCTACGTCTGTTTGAAGTCCTTTTGGTTCATATTCTTTGGATGTTGATATCGTTACAGTTCATTCAGCGCTATTAGCGCTCTATTCAAAAGGACAGTGGTATTCATTCTCGTTGAGTTAATTAACTGTTTTGATCGTAAATTACGCATCAAAACTACTGTTTACACTTTAATTGCATCTACCCCAATTAAAGTGATATTGTATTGAGTTTTTCGATTTTGCTTCAGTGTATTTATTGCATCGAAGCATACTTGATCGACTTTTACTTGATTTATTTAGTTAAGGTTTGAAAATCCTTTTACATATCCTGTTTTTGTCACCGTTCTGGCTGATTTTCAAGATGGCTAGGTCTACTCATAGATGTGGACAACCATACTGCTTATTTCCCGTGGATGAAGGGATGCAATGTGATGAGTGTAATAAGTGGTTCCATAAGATGTGCACCCGACTAAGCCCCACTGCATATAAAAGGTGTTCAAAGCCCAACTCTCATTGGCTTTGTAGTTTTTGTTGCTCGAGCAAAACATTGCTTATCCAGGAAGCAATTAGTATCCTGGTGTTGGCTAATAAGAATGTTGATGAGGGCTGTACTGATAACATTGGTACTGATGGCAACGATTGCGTTAGTGCTATCACGGCGCAAGCCAGACATCTACCTGTGCAACCCGCAGTTAAACGTTCTCCCCCGAAACGATCAGTGAGTGACACGTCATTGGATGTTGGTGGCCATATTGCTACAGCAGCAACCGGTGACCCAGATAAAACAATTACTGTCCCGAGTTGTTCTAATGTAGACGTTTCGACTGATGGAAAATGGATGACGCGAAAACGCAGAAGAGTAGGAAAGACAGCTAAAACTAATCACCGTTTACTTGGTAAGTCCTTGGTGGACTCTCAGACCAATCCGCCAAAGTCCCATAGTAAAGCTTCGTCTGACATTGTTGTGAGTCATTCGCTTGACTCCCAGGACTCTGTTAAAATAAAAACCAATCGTAAGATACCAGTAGTTAAAATACAGGATCTAACGTCACGGTCGAAAGCTGTGAACACAATTTCAAAAGAAGCTAAACCCATCCCTAGTTTAATTATTTGGAATCTAGAGGAGTCGAAAGACAACGACCCTGCTAGAAGACATGCACATGACCTGCAGTTAGTGGAGTCTGTGGTAAGGAATGTACTACCTGAAGAGGTTTCAGGGGTACATATTACAAAAGTAATACGACTTGGTAAATGGGTTGGAGGTGAGACCCAACCAAGAAGAATCCTGAAGCTGGTTCTCGGGAGTTTTGAAGAAAGAGACATATTTTTGAAAAGCGCACAAAAAACTCGTGCCTCAAATATCCGTATTCGACCAGATTGGCCGCTTGAGGATCGAATCAAGTGGAAGAATGCTCTTACGGAGTTGAGGACTCGCAAATTAAATGGCGAAAATAACCTTACCATTAAGGGTTTCCGGGTAGTCAGGTCTTGGAAGCCAATGCTTCCGAGGCCTGTATGGGTAGAACGATTGATTTTCAAAACACCTTAAGTGTGTGCTACACGAACGCTCGTAGTATTAGAAATAAAACTTCCGAGCTAAGTCTGATGGTGCAAGAATTATGTCCCGATATAATCGTTGTTACAGAAACTTGGTTCACCGTTGATATAGACTGTTCTCCTTTCATTGCTGGTTATATCTGTATCAGAAGTGATAGAGTTTCAAGTCGCAAAGGGGGAGGTATAATATTATACGTTAGGGATCACTTTCGTATACAATCAACCATATCAGAGGCTCATATCAGTGGCACATGTGAGGTTGCATGTTGTAAGATTAAATATAGAAATAGGTTAGTGACTATAGGGGGAATATAACGTAGTCCGTCTTGTCTTGCTGACGACTTTATCCTAAGACACATCTGTTCTTGGAGTATGGCAGAATGTTGTCTCATCATTGGAGACTTCAACGCACCGCATATCAACTGGATAGAGCTTACAGCTCCAGGTAGTGGTTTCGATAGAGACCTTTTATCTACCGTTATTCAGTGTGCACTTGTACAATGTATCACAAAACCGACACATATTGATTTGCAACATGATCCGTCACTGCTGGACCCCGCCCTCACCCACCACTCGGAGGATGTCTTTGATATCCAGCACCTTCCTCCACTAGTGAACAGTGATCACGTTGTAATTCACTTTAAGTTTAGGACACATGGTATACAATTCGTATCTGCTCCACCCCGTCTCAATATCTGGCGAGCTAATATTCCGGAAATCAGAAACTGTGCTATCTCGACTGATTGGTCGGTCGACGCGGATGGATTGATCGAAGATGAATGGAATAAGTTTTAGGCTACATTCGAGTCCGTGACGTCGCCGTTTATCCCATGGTCAGCACGTAAGCTATCACATTGGTCTCCATGGATTAATAAGGAAACCCGGAAGCTGTTAAAGCGTAGGAAACATTTCTGGGACTTATTCTTGTTGACAGGTCATGCACCATTTAAGCGTGAGTACCAAAAATACCGTAATATCTGTAAGAAAACCATAGCGAAATCCCGTACCACTTACGAACGACAGTTAGTATATGATAGCCGTACTTGTCCGAAACGATTGTTTTCGTATGTTAAACGGCAAATGATGGTATTCCTCCGTTACTGTTACACGAAAATTCAGAATTACTAGCTGAATCAAATCGAACAAAAGCTGAGACTTTTTCAAACTATTTTAGCGAAGTCTACTCTACGGTTATTGTAACAAATACTTGTCCCACTCACACCGAGATACCAACCATTGAATCTGTACAGGTGATTGAGGAAACTGTCCTTCCGTTGATAACTAACCTCAAACCTGGTATGATACCGGGCCCTGACGGGTTACATCCACGGTTGCTGTCATCTCTTGCGGACATTATTTCAAAACCGCTTGTGGTGTACCCCAAGGCACCATCTTAGGCCCTCTGCCCTTCCTTCTCTACGTTAATGAGTTACCACTGTTACTTAGGTCGTCGACATTATTGTTTGCGGATGATGTAAAAATCTGGAGAACAATAAAAAGTGCGACTGATCATCTGGATCTTCAAGCTGACTTAGACGATTTAGTTAGATGGGCTCGAGAGGGGGGCTTAGAAATCAATGCTAGGAAGAGTGCACTAATGCACATCGGTCACGGTAATAGTTACCATTATACTATTGATGGTAAACCTCTCCTATGTGTTCAAGGGCATAAAGACTTAGGAGTAATAATAAGTCATGATTTAAAAACAACTACGCATTCCAAAGCAGCCGCTGTCAAAGGTTTTCGTGCGTTATGGTCACTTTGCCGAGCGTTCAAATCTTTTGACGAGGAAACGTTTCGAATTTTATATCCCATATATGTTAGACCACATTTAGAGTACTGTATCCAAGCAGCTGGCCCGTGTCTGGTAAAGGATACTAACTCCCTTGA